GTGTAAAATAAAGTATATAGGGGTGCCCCGTATACCGAAACAAGTGCCTGTGCTTGAATCACTGGACGAATTTCACCCAATAAAACATAGCTTGGCGAATTTAAAGTACAAAAATGTTAAATTCCATGGCCCTGCCCTCCCCCTTTCCCACAAGCGGCTTCACAGTGGGTATTAAACAATTTAAACCAATTCTTTGTTTCTTTAAAAGTCTTCCTGTCTCTTTTAGACATTTGACCCATTACAGGCTTAAAATCATGACGGGGGTCAATATTAAAACTTCATACAATCGATACTTTTATCGTGAGAAATACTTCTTTAAAATAAGAAACAGATGAGATTGAAGTGTAAAATTGGAATAAATGCACATGAATTGGGAGCTTATCGTGGTCGATATGAATACAAATATACATGAACATGACTTTTACTCATATATATACAAAAGATATTAATTAATGGGAAAATTAAATCTCTCTCTCTCTCTCTCTCTCTCTCTCTCTCTCTCTCTCTCTCTCTCTGTGTGTGTGTGTGTGTGTGTGTAACAAAATATAATTATTTTTTAACTGTTATTTTCACAGAAACACTTTGAACTCGTGTAACAATTCAAATTTCTAAAATGATTTAGATTTAAACTTTTGAGTTTTTAACCTAACCCTTTTATAATTTTTTAAATTAGATATTCAAAATATCAAATTTCCCAACCCGACTGGAATTTTCAATAAATCAGTTCAATATTCTAACTAGTATCTAAAATTTGAAGTTTAAATCAAAGATCTCAATTTCTTTGAAATTTAGAAGTTTGAAGTAAATTTTAAATCTATAATCAAATGACAAAATATGAAACTGAATTTTGGATTGTATCGCGTAAATTTTCTGAACAAAGGGTAGAATAAAAACTCAAAATAAAAGTTTATAATAAAAAAAATCGTTCTTGGAAATTTGAATTTTGAACATTTATGGTAAAAATCTAGAATATAAAAAATTGAAAACCTGTTAAGAAATTTGAACAAAAATATCAAATTTCCATATACCAAATCAGTATGAGTCTTTGAAATTTATATATTCGAACAAATATACAGTGTATTAACTTTCTAAACTCAAAAATCAATTTAGAAATTTGAATTAAGTATTACACGGACCACTTTGCTTCATGTGAATGAAAAATATGGTACAAAAATATTTCCATTTCTAATTTTTTTTCTCAGTGATAACTCTTTGAAAGTTGGATAAGTTTATTTCTTGATAACTCTGCCGGAATGCAAATTAGGCAGGTTGATAGGTCAGCAGCTAAGGAGGCCTAATACGCATGCAAATCTCGTGCGCACCTGTCTCTGTATCTGACGCTAAGGAGGCCAAATATGTATGTAAATCTCGTGCGGCTGCCTTTAGGTTGGGTACCTGTAAAGTGCGAAACGAAATAGAAACGAAACGAACTGAAACGAAACGAAATCTGCCGAAACGATACGAAATCTACCGAAACGAAACGAAACCTACCGAAACGAAACGAAATCACGACGAAACGAAACGAAACCTGCCGAAACAAAACGAAACAAAACTATCAAAATGTTTGGGGTTTTTTTAAATCAAAGTACATATGTGTAACTGCATGTAGACTTTTTTTTTACTTCAAATAAAGTTTATATATATAGTTCAAGCACTTTTTAATATAAAATTTTAAATTATTGATAAATTATGCTCCCTTCTCAGTCTAATTATGTATTTACATGTTTACCAGCTGCAAATATGCACGAGCGTACTATGCATGTATAATTTCAATATGTGCAGTATTTTCTTATTTTTATATCTTACTCTTATTTTCAGTCCGATGTTGTTACATGTAAAGGCTCGTTTATGTACGGGTCGAAATAAAGTCACTGTACTGTTGTGTTGCGAATGTCTCAAAACATAGGATAAACCAGCGACTTAGAGTATTTAGTAATCCATTCCGAGGTGTCTGATTTCATTGTTCAGTTATACATGTAACTTGTGTATCCTTTCTACGTACATACAGTCCTATTTTTATCGAGGTAATTTTCGAGGAAGAAATGGGTGGTTTGCAAAAAAGAGGCTCCGTAAGAGACGTCGAAAACGATTTAACTGACAAGTAAAAAGTCTCTCAAAGCGATGTCAATTTTAAGTAAGTAAATTATTCAGTAAGATATTAATAAAATATGACATAGGCGTTGGAAGCGGGGGGGGGGGTGTTTCTTTTTTTGCAAAGATATATATTATATAGGCATTAACCTTTTTGTTGGTTCCCCCCTCTTTAATATCCTTTTCGACGCGTACGCCTATGTATGAGCTTGAAGCGAAGCCTGTGGTGCTTGAACTATATAAATTTCATATGAAGTAAAAATAGACAATATATTTATTATTCTGAAAGTTTTGTTTCGTTTCGTTTCGGCAGGTTTCGTTTTGATTTCGTTTCGTTTCGTCTTGATTTCGTTTCGTTTCGGTAGGTTTCGTTTCGTTTCGGTAGATTTCGTTTCGTTTCGGCAGATTTCGTTTCGTTTCAGTTCGTTTCGTTTCGTTTCGTTTCTATTTCGTTTCGCACTTTACAGGTACCCCTTTAGGTTTGACCTCAGTGTGCGAGGACTATTGAAATTGGCATGGAAGTCCTCGTTTAATTTATATCTATTAGTCTACATTTTTAAAGTCTAAATCTACAATTTTATTTCACAATGAAATGGAATTATAAGGAATCACTGTCTAGTTAGGAGAGTATGCCGGGGACATCAACAATAGTGGGAAACATGGGATAATTTTAGCACAACGGGCTTCGCCCGTTATGCAAATTATCCCATGTTTCCCACTATTGTTGATGCCCTGGCATACTCTCCTAACTAGACAGTGATTCCTTAAGTATATATCTTCAAAACTGAAAACATTCTTTCTTTTTCAGAAATGAGATATAGGGACTAGAATGGATAAATACGCAATAGTTTGTATTTTTTGTATAATTTTTATATAACATAATTATTATCTGACATACAGCTTATACAAAATTTTCTATTAGATCAAATCAAATATATGGGTACATGTACACGGCATTTAAAATTCGAGTTATAAACCTCATGAGACTAAATAATTTTAGTTAATTAGTCTTTCTGAAAATTGCAGCTGACATTTGAAGAACCCGAATCTTTTAAACTAATCCGACTTTTCCGACAAGAAATGGAAAAAATGGATAAATCTGACAGCTGTATAAAAATAATTATTGACGAAGATAAACCTCGAGTGTCGATTGAATGCACAAATAGAAAAAATGCTCAAGAATACACAACAAATAAAATGAAAGAAATGCTAAAATGGTTAAGTGGTCTTTGTGAGGAATCGATTAAGGTGGATGATGAAAATGAAAAGGATATTACTAAAAAGAAATTGTCAGAAGAAAAAGCTTGCTTCACGTATAATGAGAGTGTTAAACTTTTTCGTGTGTATACAAAAACACAAGAGGACTTAGTAAAGATCATGAGATCTTTACACTCCCTTCTCGGTAGGCCTTTTCAAGAAAAACAACCAGAAAACATGTCTGCACCGTTAGCAGCAGCAAAATGTCCAGAACAGTCACAAGATTCGAAAACAAAATCAGAAATTTCACAATCAATGCAGATACCAAGAACTTCAATGTCCACATCAAAAACTTCTAAATCTGAAACTATCGGAGGTCAACAGGAAACAGAACCCAAGGTCAGTGGTGCATCACTCAAAAAGAATGATAGGAAAGAAGACTCAAAAGATCACCAAAATCTATCATCAGACGATAAACAAGCAAAAGCCATGGCTAATCAAGGAGCAGAGTCATCGACATTAATTTCTCTGCCAGGTAACGACCAAAAATCGTCAATCATTCACAAAACCGACCCAAAAGCCTTAAGACTGCATGAAGACTTCAAGCTTAATATTACGCTGGAAGATGGACTGATATTCAGGATTTTTAAGGCAAATATTACGACAATTTGTTCGGGCGCCATTGTAAATCCTGCCAATGAGCTTCTTCGGAATACTGGTGGCGCTGCAGACGCTATATCAAAGGCCGCAGGTACCGTCTATGAAAATGATTGCCAACATATTATGAAGAAAAAGAAATGTATCAAAACGACGGAAAATGTTTTAACGAAATCAGGAAATCTTCCATGTGCCGTTGTCATCAACGCAGTTGGGCCTCAATGGGCAGACTACAAAGACAAACTGGAATGTTTACGGGATCTCGAAAAAACGATCACAGGAGTTCTAGAAACTGCAGAGAAAAATCGAATTGATTCCATTGCAATACCACCAATAAGTTCAGGTACTGAAAAAAGATTTTTCTTTTTATATTTTATATCATTGAAAGTACACATGTACTTTATACTTGCTGTATTTATTCAAAGAAACCTTTTGGAAAATCTATTCAAAATGGTGAAGTTTAAATAATGCAATTTTACGAAACATATTATTTTTCATATTTAAAGGTATATTTGGAGTACCGTGGGAATTGTGTGCGCCCATGTACATAAGCAGCATTACAAAATTTGGAAGCAAAAAAAGGAAACATCTACAGGAAGTAAACTTAGTGGATTTAACGGACGACATTCTGGATTTGTCTTGTAAATACTATAAGGAATGGACCAAGCATAAAAAATTGGACCCAAAGCAAATTCTGCAAGAATTCGCAGCTAAGAATCCACAAGCAATGTCAGGACCCACAATGCCAAAAGAACAAGACAAAAATGGTTTATCGACCGAAAATCCCATCTCGAGTCTTTGCAAATTTTTGGGAAATTCGAAAGACAAGCAAACATTTGAAATGAGTGGAAAACTAAAAGTGTACATATATAGAGACGATTTAGTGAAAATAGGTGGTATTGATATGCTGGTGTCCCCTGAAAACAGTGCATTTACTGGAAATGGAGCACTTGCTCAGAGTATACTAAAGTCTGCCGGGTCAAGCTTCAGACAGATTCATCAGTCTATTCAGCACGAGGTATACACGAGTAGAAAATCACTAAAACCTGGTGATTTTCGAGTCACTTATGCAGGGAATCTGAAATATAGATTTGTATTTCATGTTGTTTTTAACAGATTTTCAGATCAGCGTCCTCCCTCTGAAATAGAATTGAAAGACCTAAAATTCACAGTGAAAAAGATACTGAACCATGTTGAATGTTATGGGATGTGTAACATGAAAAATGAACAATATAATATGAAAATTACATCCATTGCCATGCCGTTGCTTGGAGCTGGTGAGTAAAATTCACAGGTGTCTTTTTTGAAAATCTAGTTGTCTTCTTTTCAGCGTCAGTAAATCTTAAATCGGATATGTTAAAAAATTTGTTTTTCAGGTGGGATTGAAAACCCTAAATATTTGGAGAAAATCTGCTGTGCTGTGTACGATGCTATAGAGGAATACGTGGAGACCTCGAGGATGTCGAATCTGAAAGAGATACACCTTGTTAGTTACGTTGAGTCAACTAACACAGCTTTTACAAATACTTTTTTGGCCATGTCCAAACAGGATTACGTCCGATCTCGTCAAAAGCCACCAACTCAAAAACCAACAGCTGAAAATCCCAAATATCAAGAAGAATTGAACAAAGCTCTTTCTCCCGTTGATATTTGGAAAATGGATGGCAAAAGAAAGAGTGGACCAGATTTAAAAACATTTATCGTCGACCTCAAAAAACTACCGCCTGAGAATTGCGTCATCTGCATGGATACTTTCACCAATCCTGTAAAATTGCGAAAGTGTAACCATGCTTTCTGTAAACAGTGCATTACAGACTTTTTCTCTTTCAAATCAGCTTGTCCAGTATGTAACACAACATATGGTACAATTTATGGCGACCAACCAAGAAATGGAACAGCTACAATTTATCTTGAGAAGACGTCTTTGCCAGGTCACAAAGATGGCACATACACTATCTTGTACGATTTTCCCGACGGAATTCAAGAGGTGATTATTAATTTTCTCCATCGGTTAATATTGATATCTTCCATCCAATAAGAAAATAATTTTTTATTTCAATGTACCTTGTTAATAGGTTTACACATATATGTACTGTATTTGGGTATGGATACATGCATGTATTTGCAAATTCCTTCACCAAAGGAAGGCCTCAAACTTCTTGTTCTTTACCAGAGAATATTATTAGCTCACCTGAGCCGAAGGCTCAAGTGAGCTTTTCTGATCAAAATTTGTCCGTTGTCTGTCGTCGTCGTCGTCGTTGTCGGCGTCGGCGTAAACTTTTCACATTTTCATCTTCTTCTCAAGAACCACTGGGCCAATTTCAACCAAACTTGGCACAGAGTATCCTTGGGTGAAGGGGATTCAAGTTTGTTCAAATGTAGGGCCATGCCCTTTTCCAAGGGGAGATAATCATGAATTTGTTAAAAATTAATGGCATTTTTAAAAAATCTTCTTCTCCAGAACCGCTAGGCCAGGAAAGATGAAACTCATGTGGAAGCATCCTCAGGTAGTGTAGATTCAAGTTTGTCGAAATCATGACCCCCGGGGCAAGGGTGGGGCCAAAATGGCCGACCCAAGTTTTACATCTAGGAATATATAGGAAAAATCTTTAAAAATCTTCTTCTCCACAACCACTGGGCCTGGAAAGATGAAACTCATGTGGAAGCATCCTCAGGTAGTGTAGATTCAAGTTTGTTGAAATCATGACCCCCGGGGCAAGGGTGGGGCCAACATGGCCGACCCAAGTTTTACATAGGAATATATAGGAAAAATCTTTAAAAATCTTTTTCTCCAGAACCACTGGGCCAGGAAAGATGAAACTCATGTGGAATCATCCTCAGGTAGTGTAGATTCAAGTTTGTTCAAATCATGACCCCCGGGGCAAGGATGGGGCCAAAATGGCCGACCCAAGTTTTACATAGGAATATATAGGAAAACCTTTTAAAATCTTCTTTTCAAGTACTTCAAAGCTATGATTAGTGATATTTATATGGAATCATCCTCAGGTAGTGTAGATTCTAATTTGTTCAAATGATGAACGCCTGGAGGGGGGATGGAAAAATACAAGGCCGATGTGCTCAGGTGAGCGCTGTGGCCCCTGGGCCTCTTGTTGAAATTCACCGCAAATAATGCGATTCTTTTCTGGATATCATTTGTCTGCATTCTCTGTTTTAGGAATGCCATCCTCATCCTGGAACCATGTACAAGGGTACACGCCGTCAGGCATACTTACCAGCCAGTAAGGAAGGCACGGCCATTTTACATATGTTAGAAAGAGCCTTTAAACAGGGTCTGATATTTACCGTAGGATCGTCTAGAACAACTGGACGTAGTAATGTCGTCACCTGGAATGACATTCATCACAAAACCAGATCAACAGGTGGCCCGGAAAGGTAAATGTCTAGCTCAACTCTCTCGTTAATTTTAGTTTTAAGGTAAATATTCTAGTTTTTAGCTCACCTGAGCCGAAGGCTCAAGTGAGCTTTTCTGATCAAAATTTGTCCGTTGTCTGTCGGCGTTGTCGGCGTCGGCGTAAACTTTTCACATTTTCATCATCTTCTCAAGAACCACTGGGCCAATTTCAACCAAGCTTGGCACAAAGTATCCTTCGGTAAAGGGGATTTAAGTTTGTTCAAATGAAGGGTCACGCCCCCTTCCAAGGGGAGATAATTATGAATTTGTGAAAAAATTTGTGGCATTTTTAAAAAATCTTCTTCTCCAGAACCGCTGGGCCAGGAAAGATGAAACTCATGTGGAAGCATCCTCAGGTAGTGTAGATTCAAGTTTGTTCAAATCATGACCCCCGGGGCAAGGGTGGGGCCAAAATGGCCGACCCAAGTTTTACATAGGAATATATAGGAAAAATCTTTAAAAATCTTCTTCTCCAGTACCACTGGGCCAGGACAGATGAAACTCATGTGGAATCATCCTCAGGTAGTGTGGATTCAAGTTTGTTCAAATCATGAACCCCGGGGCTAGGGTGGGGCCAAAATGGCCGACCCAAGTTTTACATAGGAATATATAGGAAAAATCTTTAAAAATCTTTTTCTCCAGAACCACTGGGCCAGGAAAGATGAAACTCATGTGGAATCATCCTCAGGTAGTGTCGATTCAAGTTTGTTCAAATCATGACCCCCGGGGCTAGGGTGGGGCCTAAATGGCCGACCCAAGTTTTACATAGGGATATATAGGGAAACCTTTTAAAATCTTCTTTTCAAGTACTTCAAAGCTATGATTTGTGATATTTATATGGAATCATCCTCAGGAAGTGTAGAATCTAGTTTGTTCAAATGAAGAACGCCTGGAGGGGGGGGGGGGTGGAGTAAATTCAAGCCTGATGTGCTCAGGTGAGCGCTGTGGCCCCTGGGCCTCTTGTTCGTAAATACTAGAATTCATTTCTGACAATCAAATTCTTCCAGACCTTTTCCATCCATATACCTAAATACTAGTACTTAAATTTCTTTCTGATGCATATAGTTATTATAGTACACAGGCTGTTTATAATTTTAACTTGATACATTGATTGTTTTTGGTAAAATTACGAAGACTAATGTGTAAACATATATATGTTTACTGTAGGTTTGGATATCCAGACCCAGATTATTTACTGCGTGTTCGAGAGGAACTTGAAGCAAAAGGAATCACGGAGAGAGATGATAGGGAGCAGCAATAAGACAGAATCCGAAAGATAAACGAAGCACTTTGAGATTTTGGTTCGAGCAACTCTGACTTTCGGTTTTAATAAACGGTCATCTTATCTTGATTTGAATGATATCCATTTAAAATGCATCAAATACATAGATATATGCAGTACTTAGAACATTTACAAGCATTTATGACTTCCGCCCATAAACAAAATATTTGGCCATTTTTAAGGATAGAGAGAGTTTAATATTTTTAGTATCTAAGTACAATGTTTAGTTTTATGTCTGAAAGAAGGTTTCAGGTTATTTTCTTACATATGTCACATTTTTTATGCATTTTTTCACGTTTTTTAATCATTTCCGAAAAATAGCTAAAATGTAATATGGGAACACGAAGACAGATAGAGAGAGATAGAGAATTTGGTATTGTTTGTCAGATATTTTGAATTTTATGTCATTACTGGGTTTTTATTGTTTTTTTTCTACATGAAAGTATCTTTTGAAAAACAAAACAACAAATTTACATTATAGTTATTAATAGATATGCCTGCCAAAAGCAATTGGTCTATTGTCTTCGTGTGTTTTATTTCAAATCATACATGTTACACGTACAGTGTACACGGTTGCAACAAAGTACCAAGGACAAACAAAATTGATTTGTAAAAGCGTAATTCCTATTCAAAAAGTTTATAATGAGTTTTAGAATAATCACTGTACTTAAAGTGTGAATTTTCTTAAAGGATGTTTGCTGTAACTGTATATCATTTATTATGTCAGTATGTGTACATTGTTTTACAAGTCAAATTTACTTACCGCTGTATTTTAAAACATAAATTGTATCATCATCAGTTAAGAGATTTATATGTTTCAATCATTCTACATGTATAAGGGAAATGTATCAAGTGTTACAATGATGAAATCTGAACACAAATTTGAAAGGTGCACCCTTGCTTTTATAACTTTTCACTTAGTTTTCCCCCTTTATATCTAGGAACATAGAAGATTTTCAAAGAAATGATGCATTTGCAGACCTTTTGCCACAAATTTCACCGTTTAAAAAAAATATTCAAGAAACACCGCTGACCTGCACAAAAATGCCTTCAGGTTATCTGCTTAAAATATAGGAGTCGAGAATAAAGTTTTTGAAGAATAATACATTTTCTTTATGTGATTTTAGGATTTCTGTCATTACTTCAATACCTCAACACTGTCACCATAAGTTTTTGGAAGCAGATCTGAATGCTTTTTATAACCATGACATGAGTTAAAGATTTTGATATCCAGGAGTGAAAAGGATGATTTTTAATGATCATTGCATAGCTAATTGCTAAGGCCTAAGAAGGCATAAAGTTCAAAATCATCAAATGTTAACACATGATGAACAAATTTTTAAATCGGATAGCAATTTAATGTGATATAAGAATCTCATTTTTATTAATTGTATGTTTATGTTTTGTTATTTAGTATTGTCACAGTTTCAATAACTAAAAAGTTTTTTTTATATGATTTTGTTTTAATTTCATATAAATGTATACAAAAGTTCACCGTCACAAGTTACCCAATCCTATAAATATGTTTTGGTATATTAAGCAATGGTACTATGGTTACCAAAAATGTAATTTCTGTATAAAATTCTTCTTTCGAGATATGATACTCCTTGAATAGTTAAAGCAT